CTGGACAGGGGTGGTCCACGCGTACACGATGCCCGTGCCGTGCGCCCCCGTCCCGGCTGGCATCCTTGGCGCCCGTCCCGACGCCCCTCAGGCCATGTACGCCACGCCGGGTGGCTATCAGCCGCCGCCACCCCCGCTCGCGTACGCCGCGCCAGGAGGCTACCCAGGCGCCGCACCCACCTACCCTACCGCACCCCCTACCGCGGCCGCTGCCCTTCCGACGGCTCCTTGGGACCCGGCCCTCCTCGCGGTGCTTCACTCCGCTCCTACACCCAACACCTACACCGGCGGCGGCGACTGGTATATGGATACCGGGGCTACATCTCACATGACTTCCAACCCCGGTAATCTCAACTCCGCATATCCAGTTCATACCGCATGTCGTATCACCGTTGGGGATGGATCCTCCCTTCCCATTACTCATGTCGGTCATGGTTTTTTTCCGTCTAACTCCATGCCTATACATATGTCTAATGCCTTAGTTTCACCTTAGCTCATTAAAAATCTTGTTTCCGTTCGTTCCCTTACACATGAAAATCCTATAACTGTTCAATTTGACGAAGTCGGTTTTTCTGTCAAGGACGCCCGTACCCGGATGGTACTCCACCGTTTTGACAGCCCGGTGAGCTCTACCCAGTCCACTCCACCGCCACCACCACCTCCACTCCAGTCGCCCTCTCCATCGCCGTGGACCTTTGGCATGCTCGGCTAGGACATCCGAACTCCGCCACCCTTCGTCATATTCTTAGGACTTTCCCATTCATGTGTAATAAAACCGATGATCATACTTGTCATGCTTGCCGCCTCGGCATGCACGTTCGTCTTCCATTTAGTGCTTCCTCATCGGTGGTGGCGTATCCATTTGAGTTGATTCATAGTGATTTATGGACATCTCCAGTTGCCAGTAATACAGGTTTCTTATATTATCTAGTTCTACTTGACGATTTCTCGCATTATGTGCGGACCTTCCCGTTGTGGAGAAAATCCGATGCACTCTCCGTTCTCACTATGTTTTACTCATATGTCGCTATGCAGTTTGGGCGTCCCATTCACACGTTGCAGACTGACAACGGGAAGGAGTTCGATAACATTGGGGTTCGCACCCTTCTTGCCACACATGGCACGATTCTTCGTCTTACCTGCCCGTATACCTCTCAACAAAATGGTCACGCCGAATGGATTCTCCGCACTCTAAATGATTGTGCGCGCACCCTTCTCTTCCATGCTAACGTCCCGCCCCGGTTTTGGCCGGATGCCCTAGCCATCGCCTCTCTCCTTCTCAACATTTGTCCGTGTCGCACTCGTGGGAACTTTGCACCACATCATCTTCTTTTCGGTACCGCCCCCTCCTATGATGATCTTCGTGTTTTGGGGTGTCTATGTTATCCCAGCATCGCCTCCACCACACCTCACAAACTCGCACCTCGCTCCGTGGCATGCACCTTTCTCGGATACCCACCAAACACCAAAGGATGTCGTTGTTATGATCCGGTTTCCCACCGAGTTTTCACTTCACGGCATGTTTACTTTGACAAGAGGGGTTTTCCTTTTCACCAGGTACCGCCCACGGACGATTCGCCATCACCACCCGCGCCCGCCGATGCTGCTCATGCTGGCCGCCCCCGAGCGCTCGGCCCCCCCTCCCGGCTTCGAGCCCCCTACTGCGCCCGGGTCCCCTCCTAGCTTCGGCGGCCCTGCTGCGCCCGGGTCCCCTCCCGGCTTCGGCGGCCCTGCCGCGCCCGGGTCTCCTCCCGGCTCCGGCGGGCCTGCCACGCCTGGGCCCTCGTCAGGGGCCCCCTCCTCGTCCCGTCCTGCGGGTCCCACCAGGTCCGTGGCGCCGGACCCGCCGCCTTCGCCTACCGCGCCAGGCTCCATGGCGCCTCCGACTCCCATTGAGTCTGCAGCCCCGTCAGTGAGCGCCCCTCATGCACCTGACCCCAGCTCCTCGACAGACTCGACGGTGATCCCGACAAGCTCTTCTTTGGCCTCGCTCTCAGTTGATCCTCCGTCGCCGCCTCCGCGGGCCTTGCCGACCCCGCCGGCCCAGCCATCTCGCATGGTCACCCGTGCTCACGCGGGCATCCACCGCCCCAGCATGCGTTACTCAGTGGACGAGTACCTCCTCGCTGCCTCGACGTCCACACCGTCACCTCTTCCATCGTCATCTCGAGCCGCGCTTCGCGACCCGCATTGGCTCGCTGCGATGCAGGAGGAGTTCGACGCGTTGATGCGTAACCGCACCTGGCAGCTCGTCCCGCGACCCCCCCCCCCATGCCAATGTCATCACCGGCAAGTGGGTCTTCCGACATAAAACCTGTCCCGACGGGTCCCTCGAGTGTTACAAAGCTTGTTGGGTGGTTCGCGGGTTTCGTCAGCGTGCTGGAGTCGACTTCACCGACACTTTTGCTTCGTTTGTCAAACCAGGCACGATTCATGTGGTCCTTCTGCTTGTGGTATGTCGCGCATGGTCGGTGCATCATATGGATGTGTCGGATGCATTCCTGCATGGCCATCTCTCGGAGCAGGTCTTTTGTCAGCAGCTCATCCTGATCGTGTGTGCTTGCTCTCCCGCTCCTTGTACGGGTTGAAGCAGGCACCTCGAGCCTGGTACCAGCGCATCGCCACCTTCCTGCAGCAGCTTGGGTTTCGAGCTACTTGCTCCTCTACGTCGACGACATCATCCTGACGGCCTCCTCGACAGAGCTCCTCCGCCAGCTTACTGCTCGCCTCAGCGCCGAGTTCGCCATTATCCTCGGCTCCTTGCACTACTTCCTCGGGATTGAGGTGGTGCGTCGTGCCGACGGGTTCTTTCTTCATCAGCAGCAGTACGCACAAGACCTCCTTGAGCGGGCAGGCATGCTTAACTGCAAGCCTGTCCCCACGCCTATCGACACAAAGGCCAAGGTCTCTACGCTCGAGGGCTCGCCCGCGCCAGATGCGGCGTTTTATCGCTCCATCGTCGGCGCCCTTCAGTACTTGACGCTCACTCGGCCGGACCTGCAGTATGCTCTTCAGCAGGTGTGTCTCCACATGCACGCTCCTCGCGACACTCACTGGAACCTGGTGAAGCGGATTCTTCAGTACATCCGCGGCACCACGGCTCTGGGTCTCACATTGACGGCCTCGTCCTCGACCGACCTTGTTGCCCACAGTGACGCCGATTGGGGGGCTGGCTGTCCGGACACACGACGCTCCACTTCCGGCTACTGTGTCTACCTGGGTCCTTCGCTCATATCGTGGTCGTCTAAATGACAACTCACAGTATCCCGCTCCAGCGCCGAGGCTGAGTATCGTGTTGTGGCTAATGTCGTCGCCAAGTGCTCGTGGATCATGCAGCTTCTCTAGGAGTTGCTCCTTGACGTTTCGACGACCACCACTGTCTACTGTGACAATGTCTCAGCGGTCCACCTCTCCGCCAACCCCGTTCATCATCGTCGCACGAAGCACATTGAGCTCGACATTCACTTCGTGCGTGAGCGGGTGGCTCTTGGACGCGTCCGTGTTCTCCATGTTCCCACAACTCAGTAGTTTGCCGATGTCATGACTAAGGGGTTACCGACGCCTACATTCGAGGAATTCCAGTCCAGTCTATGTGTCACTAGCGACGTATCGACTGTGGGGGGTGTTGAACATATTATGCAGGCCTACACTCATGTATATGGTTAGGATAATCTCCTACCGGCCCCATCTCTAGTTTCCTTGTATAGATGAGGCTGGGGGCCTACTTAAAATTTACTACATACAATGGTTTAAATTGGAACAACTTTACAAAGGAATTAACCTAAACTAAACACATGGTACGTGATTCTCCGTCCAACCATCCGGGGTTTGTAAGGCTGGCGCGGATATTTAAGTCTTTAGCAACTAAATATGTGTAACAAGCCACCAAGAGTAGATGTTTAGAAACTTTGTTCGACGACGAATCCTCCGATGACATATTTTCCACGTTTCACTGGTCAAACTGAAGACCCCGCTCTCACTTTACAAACCCGGATAGAGGTAGTATACTTGGGACCTAGACTCTCACTAGTAGAAAAGGGGGCAATGGTCCAGGCCGGGCCAGCCCATTAGTCCCGGTTCAATCCAGAACCGGGACCAATGGGGGCATTGGACCCGGTTCGTGAGCCACAGGGGCCGGCCGGGCCACGTGGGCCATTGGTCCCGGTTCGACTGGACCTATTGGTCCCGGTTGGTGGGACGAACCGGGACCAAAGGCTGCCCTTTAGTCCCGGTTCTGGCCACGAACCGGGACCAATTAGTTGCCTATATATACCCCTCGCCCGCGAGCAGAGCACTCCCACTGCTCTGTTTTTCGTGGCCGGCGAGGGGAGAGCTTTGTGGTGCTCTACCTCACCTCCTATGCACACGAGGTGTTCGATGGAATGCCCGAGCCACACTACTTAAGCTTTCTCCTCTCCAAGCTCGACCTCCAAGCTCCATTTTCCTCAATATTTTTCTAGGTTTAGCGATCCGTCACGTCCCGTCCCCGTCTTCACCGTCATCGATCGCCCGCGCCGATCTCGTCGCCGGCACCACCGTGGTGAGCCTCTTGTTCTTATCTTCTTTCTGAAAGGAAAAAAATTCTTACTTGTATGTTTATATAGATACTTGTATAATTTTCTAACTTTTATTATTGCATCTTATATAGTGCGATGGTTTTGGTATCCGCCCCCGTCGGCCCTCGTCCTGTCTATATTCGGATGTGGTATATATTATCTTTTCATAACTATTGGTTCATTTATTGTTTATGACAATTATGCCGACCAACGTGACATAAATTTTATTTATCTAGGAGGTTGTTGAACCGGAAATTCCAACCGACCCTATTGTCGAGAGGTTAAATTTAGTTGAAGAAGAAAACAATTTGTTGAAGGAAAAAATTAGAAAAATTGAGGAGGAGGAGATGATATTGGAGTTGCATGTTGCGGATGTCGTCGATGATCACAAGATCAAGATGGATGCAATGCGCTTGAAGATTAGAAAGATTAGAAAATATGTCATTCATACCGAGGCTTGGTATCATTATGCCATTGGATCAGTTGTTACATTGGTTGCGATTATGATCGCATTTGTTTTCGCATTGAAATGTTTTACATAGTTTCAGTGTATGGTTTAATTAATTTAGATGCTCTGCAGAGCTTTATGTTGTTAGATGAGAACTATGTATGTACTTTGGTTTTAATGTGGTGATGAACTTCTATTAATTTGGTCGCTTAATTATCTATTCATGATGTTCTGTAATGATTTTTGACACACTTAATTATATATAATGCACGCAGATGAACCGACAATGGATGTACGGTTCAAGACACACCTCCGAGTACATTAAGGGCGTGCATGATTTTCTCGAAGTGGCTGAGGCAAACAAGCAGAATGGTTTTATGTGTTGTCCATGCCCTATATGTGGGAATACGAAGTCTTACTCTGACCGGAAAATCCTCCACACCCACCTGCTTTACAAGGGTTCCATGCCACACTATAATGTTTGGACGAGGCACGGAGAACTAGGGGTTATGATGGAAGACGGCGAAGAAGAAGAGTACGATGACAACTATGTGCCCCCTGAATACGGTGATGCTACTGAACATCAAGAGGAACCAGACGATGTGCACGATGATGCTGCAACGGGCGAAGCTGTTGAAGATCAAGAGGAACCAGACGATGTGCCACCTCTCAAACCAGACGGGCGAAGCTGCTGAAGATCAAGATCAAGAGGAACCAGCTGCGGGAGGCAATACAGATACGGTCCACCTCTCAAGCCTCTAGAGAAGTTACCGTACGAGAGGACCGAGGAGGAAAACGATACGATCGTGCGGACCCACATAAAGGAGTTCTTTGAAGGGGTGAAAGCAAAGAGACATCCACCTTCGGAGGAGAAGGTAGATCCGGTGAAAGCAAAGCACACTCTCGATGCCCTGAGGAAACCGGCAAAGTCTCCGCCGAGAACCAACTATGAGCGCATTACTGAATAGACATATCTCCAAGCGGAGCGGTCGGGAAATACTGTCAGACATCAAAGAGCAAGAGAACGAGCAGCTACGAAAAAAATTGACCAGCTCGGCGAACAAGCAAACCAATCATGCCCCCCGCTCAATGTGTCTAGCGGCAATTACATCGTCGCTAATGCTCTGGGGATGGTGGCCGGTTATGGCAATCCACAAGATTACCTGCCTGACGATGCACTTCCTGATTTCATGAAGGTGGACGAACACAGATACGAGTACGGGAAGCCTCTCGTCAAAGATGAAAAATCTGTAACAACGATGATGCGAAGATTCCATACTTGGTACATGAAAACCTGCAGAGAGTCTGGGGGGGGGGGCGAATACTTTGTATCTGAGAATTAAAGAGGAGCACGACCTCGTTGGAAATGATCTGTTGCCTGTTCCATTTGAGGAGTTCTTCGAGTTCTTCAATCAAAAGGCCCTCGATAAATTAACGGTCTTTTGCTACTACCTGTAAGTACTATTTTTGTCATTAAGTCTCTATATATAGCTCGACTCTTTCATTGCATGTATTTATAATTAATTATCCTCAATATATTATGCAGATTGAAGATCGTCGAGTGCAAAAAATAAGAAATTTATGATATTCGGTTCATTAACACAAATATCATAGATGAATTTCTGGTTGAAAAGGACGTCAAAGAGGCCGAGGACAACTTGCTACAATCGTTGATCAAAAATCAAAACAAAGATACCATACTCTTTCCTTACAACGACAAGTGAGTGTTACTGTCGTGTGCATATTCGGTTTCCCTTATTACTCGAGCGAGGTTATAGTAATGTAATTGATGAGTTATGCATGCGTGCGCAGGTACCACTATATTCTTCTGCAGATTAAGCTTGAGCGTGGACTAGTAACCGTCTTAGACTCGAGACAGAAAGCTCCCAAAACCTATGCGGACATGACTGAAATGCTCAGCAAGTAAGTTCAATCGATCATTATCGCACCATATCGGCAACTTTTTGTTCATTTCCTGATATCTCAAGTAATAATAATTATTTTCTTTGTCTTGCAAGGTTTGGAAACAGTTCATCGCAGAAGCTCCGAGACTGCCGAAGGAGCTGCGATATACATACCCGAAAGTAAGTACTATTGGCTAGCTAGTTGCGCGCATCTCCCGTTGATTCTATAGCTATACTTTCATCAATGCCATTTATAATGCTTCATTATCAGTTTGATTGACCTCTATTTCTCGTAAAGTGCTTGTGGCAGGAACAAGGGAATGATTTCTGTGGATACTACGTGTGCGAGTTCATCCACACCGCGACTTTGAAAAACAAGCGGGGCTACTCTCAAAGACAATATGAAGTGCGTAAGCAATAATATTCACAATTTCATTTTATTACACCATCATTTCTGTTGAGTTTCATTCATATATATGTATTAATTAACCCCCTTCTTCAAATTAGACGTGGCAGATGCGGAATGAACTCCTAGAACCAGATCGCATGAAAGCAATTCAAGAGGAATTGGCGGGATTCTTTCTTGACCACGTCATCAATAAAGCCGGAGAATACCAATGTGAAAGTTGATTTCAAATGCTAGGGGACTGTAATTGAGAGATCGTACATATTGTACATGTATGTAGCCAGTAGCGTCGGATGTACATGATACGAAAACTTGTTGTTCAACCAATCTCTCGAAGAAGGAGAGGTCGATCGATCATTTCTCTCGGTATGCATGACGAACTTCTGTACTCAATGGTTCCCTTCATTTTCTTACTAGCTAGCGTGTCGAGGGCTATATGTATATAGTACGTAGCGTCGACCAAGCACGGACATAAGAGAGGACACTTCTCTCTATTAATTAGCTAGCTAACACAATATATGAAACACCTAAATTAACCCCCCAAAACCCCCAACCCCCCCC